GCCAGTGTCGACTGTCGACCACCCGGGGGAGGGCCTTCTCTGTGGCTGCTCCGGCCCTTTGGAACGAAGGGAGATTCGGACCCTTACCACCCTTCAGGCTTTCCGCAAAGCCGTCAAGACCTGGCTGTTCCGGCAGGCCTGGGGCTGATGAGTTCCCAACCCCACTCGAATTGTTGTGGCTGTTGTGGTGTTTTAATCTGTTCTTGTATTTTGCTTTTTGTCTTTTTTGTGTTACCCCCATCCCCTTAGTTTGTTAGCCGCCCTGAGTCCCCCTGGGAATAGGGCGGCATACAAGTCTAATAAACTCAACTCAACTCCCAGAATTCCGCAACCAGCATTAATAAACGTCGACTCCCAGAATTCCCCAAACAGCATTAATGGACCTCAACTCCCAGAATTCCCCAACCAGCATTAGTGGATTCTGGGAGTTGAAGTCCACACATCTTCAAGTTGCCAAGAATAAATAATACTATTCTAAGACATTGTCCATAAAAGTTTGTTCTTTTAAAAAAAATACCTTCACAATTTTTACATATTTTTATGTTTATTTTTTCCCTCTATTCACGTAACATTTGGAAAGTTCTTTCCAGAAACACTTTGAGCTAAACAAATTTTTGCACATTATGTTCAAAAGTGCAAAAAGAACATCGGAGGCATGCATCTGTGGGTTTCCCGTTGCTGCAAAGCAAGAGCCATCGTAATCTAGGCTACTGGACCAGGATTTGTGAGAATCGGTGGCCAATTTTAATGTTGGCTGGATTCTCATTCATGTGCTTAACCAGGTCAGTGGTGGAGATTCTCACGGGGTCCTGCTAACTTGCTGGGTGTTTGGAAAAGCAGCAGACAGGTTCAACTTTAAATCAAGGTAATTATGAATCAAATTAACCTGGGTCAACCAGGTAGACAATCCAAAAGCCTAGACTGGCCCACTCAGTCCTCCAAGAAAAAGAGAGGGTGTTACAGAGCAGCCGAAACAGCTGTCCAGATCAAAAACAATGGGCTAAATACAGATAGCCCTTAACTTACAACTGTAATGGAGCCAATTTGGAGTGATTTCTTTTTGCCAGAAACCGGTTCCCAGCAAAAATGTAAATCATGATGATATGACCATGGGGTGCTGCAAATGGGTGTAAATGAAGACCTAGTCAAAAAGTAGTTATTGGTCACAGGACCACAGGGGTGAAGAAGAAATTGCAACTTTGAAACCAGGTCATAAATTCCAGGGTCCGTCGTAACTTCGAACAGTCATTAAGCAACCGGTCATAAGTCAGGGACAACCTGTAGATCTATTTGCGAGGTGCAAATGCAGCCATTCAAAAATGAAAATATGACTGCAGCATTTGGGGGGTTGGAATGTGGGCGGGGCTCAGTTGAGCCTGATGTGGATTGGCTACTCAACATGTCAAACTTTGAAGTGATCTTCCAGCCCCTTCTGGGGGATAATGAAAAGATTTTGCTCCATTGGGGATCTGAAAAAGAAATTTGCTTCTTGAGGGAGGAAAAATATCTTCCTGAGACTCTCAGCTCTTTCAAGTTTCTAGTCCTCATGCGTCTGCAAGGAGGGTTGGAAGCGCAAAGGCCGTTTCAGCACCACCGTCTCCGAAGCCAGTGGAGAAAATACATTTTTTCCAGGGAAACGAAAGCGTTTGGATCTCCTAGCCGTCCGAAATGAGGAACATGGCTCAGTAGACCAGCTCATAAACCGTGGCTTTCTTGTCTCCTGATCCGGTCACGATAAACTTGTCATTAGCCGAGATGTCGCAGCTCAGAACCGAGGAAGATTCTTTGGACTGCAAAAGGAAGCAGGGAAATGAAGAGAAGAAACGGACTGATTCTGCCAACGTTCAACCGGGAAACTCGCCCGATTTTCACATGACGTCTTGCTTGGCAACGCGGATTATTGGCGTCTCCTTTTGCCATACTAGAACTCACCTTCTCCTAGTGACTGGCCCAAAGGCAACCCAGCTGACTTTCGTGGCTAAGGCAGAACTAGAACTCAATGCCTCTCAGTACCTTAATCACTAGACCAAACTCTTAAACAGAGAAAAAACCAGTCACCAGGAGAAAGTGAGTTCTAGTCCCATCGTCAGTATGAAAGCCATCTGAGTGACTTTGAGCCATCACCGGGAGAAGGTGAGTTCTAGTCCCAAATTAGGCATGAAAACCAGCTTGGTGACTTTGAGCCAATCACTACGAGATGGGGAATTCTAGTCCTGCACCTTAGGCGTGAAATCTGACTGGGTGGCTTTGGACCAATCACCGGGAGAAGGTGAGTTCTAATCCCAAATTAGGCATGAAAACCAGCTTGGTGACTTTGTGTCAATCACTAAGAGATAGGGAATTCTAGTCCTGCACCTTAAGCATGAAATCTGGCTGGGTGACTTTGGGCCAATCACCAGGAGATGTTGAGTTCTAGTCCCACCTCAGACATGAAAGAGAGCTGGGTGACTTTGGGCCAATCACCAGGAGACTGGGAGCTCTAGTCCCTTCCATTCCCCACCAACCTGTCAGAGCTGAAGAAGCTTTTTGCATGAGAAGCGAAACAACTTCCAAAGAAAAAGAAAACAGAAAGTCCAGTTGCCTCCGGGAAAAAAAGCACCTTTGGGACAGGTAGCTCTAAGAAGTGAGCCACGCTGCAACCTGGGTCCTCTTAAAACTCAACCTGGCTGAATCGTACAGGTCTCCCTTCCATCCAGAAATCCCGCAAACATTTTGTATTTTCAGCAGAGAGCGAAAGCGTTTAGCCCAGGGGTCTCCAACCTTGGCAACTTTAAGCCTGGAGGACTTCAACTCCCAGAATTCCCCAGCCGGCTGGGGAATTCTGGGAGTTGAAGTCCTCCAGGCTTAAAAGTTGTCAAGGCTGGAGACCCCTGGTTCAGCCAGCAGCTGTGCAACCCTCAGTCTCCATTACCTGAAAGATGCTGGCGCCATAGGGAGCCCGCCATGCGTTAAGCAGATTATCTTTCCCGGTGCTGATAAACCATTTGCCTGCAGCGAGAGAGGAGAGGAAAAACAGAGAAATGATCCGGTCTGTGTGCACAACCTTTACAGATGATAAGAGAGAGAGAGAGAGAGAGAGACCTTTCTGAAGTCCCAGGAGCTGTTTAAGGGTCCTCGACTTACGATCATTCCTTTAGTGACCGCTTCAAGTTACAAGTAATAACTCCATAGAAAACAGGCAGGCATATTCCTCAAAGAACAGTTTTATTGGAGATATCGTATTGGCACAAACTGGTGAAAACCAACTCTGAAAGTTCCCACGGTTTTCCCCTTTCCCCAAATAATCAGTCCCAATGTCCAATCAAAGTACTGGCTAGTCGCCTGGTAACAGGACTCCTCCTCTCTCCAGCCATCTGTTGGAATGACCTTGGTTCCCACAAGAAATTATTTTGTTTCGGCTACAAAAAAAACCCCATCTGACTATGCTCCCCCTCCCTATCCCATCTTCGCACTGTGGCAACCCAGGCAGGTTCGCTTCAGAGTTGAGAACAAGGGTACTGAAAAGAGTGATTTGCAAACCAGTCCTCGCATTTACGATCACTGCAGCATTCCCAAAGTCACGCGATCAGAACTCAGTTGTTTGGCAACCCGCATGTATTTTATGACAGTTGCAACGTCCCGGGGTCATGTGAATTCCCATTTGAGACCTTCCCTTCCGACAAGCAAAGTCAGACCTGCTTAACGACCGCATTATTCACTTAAAAACTGTGGCAAAACAAAAAGGGTGTCACCTCAGGTGCCACTCATTTAACAACTGTCTTTGCATAGCCATGGAAATTCTGTCCCTATTGTGGTCGTAAGTCGAGGACTACTTGTATAGCAGTTTTTTAAAAAAACTATAAAGGTTACTATAACCTTGACTTACGACCACAACTGAGCCCTGCATTTACGTTGCTAAGTGAGAAATTTGTTAAGTGATTTTTGCCTTATTTTACCGCAAATGTCATAAATATGAGTCAGTGGCCAAGCATTCAAACGTAAATCATGTGACCAAGGGGAAGCGGCAACCGTCGTAAGTGTGAAAAATGGTCCCAAGTCACTTTTTTCAGTGCTGTTGTAACTTTGAACGGTCAATAAGTGAGATGTTGTAAGTCGAGGACCACCTGTGCTTTCCTGCATTTTATTGCATTGTGTGTGACGGTGACTTGGCTAAGCGGGGTTGTGCGAATGCAGCCAGAATGACGACAGATGGGGTGAGTAAGGACGCCGGGAGCTCCACCAACTGCCTCGTTTTTCTTACCCACGCAACCTACCACAGGAAGCGAACTTCAGGGAGAGGACGCAGCTCTCGTGAAGGTGCAGCTGGTACTTCTCCGATTTGGTCACGTGGAGGATTTCCACGTTGCTGCTCTCCATCCCCACGGCCAGCCACTCCCCCGTGGGGCAGTAGCCCAGGGAGAAGATCTGGAGAGAGAGGAGGGTGGGGGGGAAGGAAGGAAGGAAGGAAGGAAGGAAGGAAGGAAGGAAGGAAGGAAGGAAGGAAGGAAAAAAAGAAGAGAAGGGGAGGGACAGGAATGCAGGTAAAGGAAGGAAAGAAAGAAGGAAGGAAGGAAAAAGAAGAGAAGAAAGGAAGGAAAAAAGAAGGGAGAAGAAGGAAGGTAGGTAGGTACAGGAATGTAGGCAAAGGAAGGAAGGAAAAAGAGAAGGGAGAAGAAAAGCGAGAGAGGTAGGGAGGTACAGGAAGGCAGGCAAAGGAAGGGAAGGAAGGAGGGAAAGAAAGTGAGGAAGGAAGAAGAAAAAAGAAAGAAAGAGAGAGAGAGAGAGATAGGACAAAATAGGAAGGGAGGAAGGAGGGAGGGAGGGAGGGATGGAGGGAGAGAGAGAGAGAGAGAGAGAGATGGAAACAGTTGAAGATTAAAGCTTAAAAAGGTTTGAGGGCCAGGATGGTGCATTTGAAACACACAAAGCAAAATCCACAGCCAAAGATTCTAGTCCTGATGCCTGCAAAGTTAACAGCAGGAGAAAGGCTTCATTTACATAAACTAGATTAATTCAAAGTCAAGTGATTACACTTTTACAACATGCTAAATGTAAGGTTTTTAAACAACAACAACAACAACAACGCTTTGTCTTCTTTTAGGGAAGGGAGTGACTGACGGGGGTTATAGGAAGTCAGCCCTTGATCACTGGGGAAGCTGGTAGGAAGTAGAAAGTTGCAATATGAAGTCCTCAATTAATTGCCACCCCCCCCCTCCCCGTGTCACAACGATCATCGATTAACATGATTTTTCAACATACAACCGCCTCACTTAACAGCAGAGTTCCCAGCTCCAATTGCTGCCCTTAAATGAAGACCACCCATAATTACAGCAGTCCTCCCTTACTGACCGCCTTCTTTAGCAACCGTTTGAAGCCGCAATGGTGTAAAACAAAGCTTCACAACAGGCTGCAGTTAACCACAATTCGTGAAGAACGTGGAAGCAAAAATAACAATTTTGGGGAATGGGAGGGTGTCACATAATACCTTGGTTAAAAACCGCAACGATTTGCTTCACCACCAAACGGGAGGTGAGATGGTTAAGCCCATTAAAGTCGTGTGATTTTTCCACTTAGTGACAGAGTTGCTGGTCCCATTGTGATCGCTAAATGAAAATCGCCGGCTTGTCCAATATCGGTGTGCCAAAATCCCGCCCCTTCCCAGGGCTGATTGGTTGCCACCGGAAGCCCCACCCACTCAACGGCTGTCCATCAAAGGTCTCCACCCCTTTCCCAGCTGACCTGCGAGGTGAAGTCGTGTTGTTGCAGCTGCCGGCCTTCGCGGAGATCCCAGCACCGGACGGTGTTGTCCAAACCGCCGGTCCAAAGTTTGGTGCCATAATTGGAGATATCAATGCAGCTCGCCCCGTCTGTGTGACCTTGGAACTGCCTGCAAAGGGAGGCAGAAACCAGCAAGAGCTCCTCTTATTTATTTCTGTTAAATCATAATACTGTCCCAAATCTGAACTAAGCTCCGCAATGGCAACAGAAGAGCATCCGGCCAGTAAACACTCAGCCCAATTCAGTTGCTCAGACTCCACCCCACAAGGGATTATGACATCATTAAAAGAAGATGATGACACTCTCATAAATAAGTGTATAAATCAGGGGGGTCCTTATGATCACCCTCGATTTACAACCGTCGTGACTTAAGGCAGAAATTCTAGCCTCTGTTATATAAAACGAGGACTACCTGTATTTGCTTTGGGGCTGGGAGAAGCTTAGCCAGTGTGGCTTTCTGAACGAACCAGGTTTAAACAATGTGTGGTTTGAATAAATGTCAGGAGAAGAATAAAATTAATAATACGTAAGTCGTGATCCTTAACTTATGACCACAATTGAGCCCCCAATTTTGGTTGTTAAGTAAAACATTTATTGAGTTTTGCCCCATTTTACAACCTTTCTTGCCACAGTTGTTAAGTGAATCACTGCAGTTGTTAAATTAAAAACATGGCTGTTCAGTGAATCCCCCCATTGACTTTGCTTGTCGGAAGGTCGCAGAAGTGGATCACATAGGACTCTGCAACTGTCGTAAATGTGAATCAGTTCCCAAGTGCCTCAATTTTGATCATGTGAGCATAGGGATGCTGCAACGGTCATAAGTGTGAAAAATGGTCATAAGTCACTTTTTTCAGTGCCGTTGTAACTTCGGTCACTAAGTGAACTGTTGTAAGTTGAGGACTACCTGTAGTGACAGCAACAGCAGCATCATACAACCGAAAACTTTTGTTTACTTCTTACTAAGGTTGAAGAAATATTTTAGTTTTTCTGCTTCANATATGCTGACTCTGTAAACCGCTTAGAGAGGGCTGAAAGCCCTATGAAGCGGTATATAAGTCTAACTGCTATTGCTATTGCTATTGCTATCTCCCTTTGTGTAATCTTCCTTTCGTCCTCTCTCCTCAGTCGAAAGAAACCTCATCCGTCCTCAGCTGCGACGTTTCCACAGACGATCAATTCATCGTCACCGGATCCGGGGACAAGAAAGCCTCCGTTTACGAAGTCATGTACTGACGAGAATCGCGACGTTGCTTCAGAACTGACCCCAAAAGAGAAGGGGGGGGCCCCTGCTCGTCGGCGCCCCTTCTCGATTGTTTTGTTTTTTTTCCAGCCAAAGAATTCCCCCCTCACAATCCAGGAACGGAAGCAGGGATCCGGAACCCACCACGAGGACGCTGGGTGGGTTTGTGGGAAGGCCGCTCCCCCCCCCCCTTCCGTCTTCCACTCAACCTGAGGTTTTCGCGGAGTTTAGTAGTGGTTTTCTCGCCAAGTTGCCCTTATCCTGGCATGGTGGGAGTTAAGGGTTGGCGCTGTCTTTTGGTGTGCGTGTGTTGGGTGGGTGTGGGTGTGCGTGTGCGCGTGTGTGTGTGTGTGGGTGTGGGTGTCCACATTGAAATTCCTTTGGAAAAGTTTGTTGTGTATTTTAACCTTTTTCTTTTTTTAAAGAAAAATAATAATAATGGACTTTCAAATAAAGAGATGATGGTGTTTGGGTTACTGGCCCATCTGGATCGCTTCTGTTTCTGTGAGGTTCCTTCGCGTGGAAAAAAGGGAGTGGGGCTTCCCTCAAAACGCTGGGGGCCGCCATCTTGACTCGATTGACCTACCCGGGGTTTTGTGTGGCTCTGAAAACCGCCTGGCTTTCTATTCGTGTTCAGAGGTGCAGGAGAACTGAAAACCTTTCAGGAAGTTGAGGACAGTAAGAAAGAACAGCGATAGGGTCAAAATTTTAATCTCTCTCTCACTTTTTTTTTTTTAAATGCCTTCAGTGCTTGAGATCACGAGTGTGGATCCTGGAGGGTTCTGGAAAACTTAGAAAGCTGTTTCTCTTAAGTTAATGCAGATTTTCGGGCAAGGTGATTTGCCGGACTGCAAAGGTTTATAACTTAAATTTTGGCAAATCCAATGAAAAGATTTATTGGAGGGCCCTGGCTGGATGCCCATAATATACAAAGTCAAAGTTAATAAACATTACAGGTCCTATCTTCCTATCTTCCTATGTTTCTTCTGTCTATCATATGTCTGTCTATCATATATCTGTCTATCATCTGTCTATTATCTATATTTATATCATCTATCATATATATGTCTATATAACTCATCATCATCTATGTCATCTGTCTATCATCTATATGTCTCTGGCAAAGGGCTAGCAAAACAAACTACTTGTAAAAGTGGCATTTGATCACACAAGTGACATAAAGCTGGCCATGCCCCCCCCCCCTCCAAGGTTAAACAGCCCTGATGCACCCCTGGTCTATCATCTCTCTATTTATCTATCTATATCATCATCATCACCCTCCCTATCTATCTATCATCTATCCATCTATAATTTATCTATATCATTATCATCTATCATCTATCTATATCATCTATATCTATCTATCATCTATATCTATATCATCTATCAATCTATCTATATCTATCATCTATCTATATCTGTTATCTATCTATCATCTATTTATCATCTATCTATATCATCTACCTATCAATATCATCTATCATCTATCTATATCATCTATCTATCTATCTATCTATCATCTATCTATCTATGTCTATCATTTATCATCTCTATCATCTACCTATCTATCATCTATCCATAACTATCATCTATCTATCATCTATCTATCATCTATCTATCATCTTTCTATCTATCTCTCTTCTATCATCTATCTATCATCTATCTATCATCTCTCTTCTATCTATCATCTATCTATCTATCATCTATCATCTCTCTTCTATCTATCTCTCATCTATCTATCATCTCTCTTCTATCATCTATCATCTATCTATCTTTTATCTATATCATCTATCTATTATCTATATATCTATCATCTATATATCTATCATCTGTCTGTCTGTCTATCTATCAATCATCTATCTATCTATCATCTATCTATCTATCTATCTATCTATCTATCTATCTATCTATCTATCTATCTATCTATGTCTTTCATCCATCTGTCATCTATCCATTGATTTTGGTCTAGGAGAGGGATGGCTAACCTTTTTTTAAAGGTGTGCCAAAACTGTTTGGGTGCTCTATCATGCACGTGCCCACTCACCTGTGCATGCGCGAGCAATCTTCCCAGCCGAGCATGCGCAAGCAGCAAGTCTTAAAGATGTCAAGTTTGAACAACCTGGGTTTTTTTTCTAAAGGGTTAGAGGTGCAAGAGTCTTGTAACTTGACGGCTTTAAGACTTGTGTTCAAATGCCAGTGTT